ATATTCTCAAAAAACTTTTCCAGAAAAACTTATGAAGACGACCAGCATGCCAATTTTTGTTGAAAGCTTAAAATATGTCAAGAGCAATGATGCTGCTGAAAATTTTCCAAGAGTCTCAAGAGCCTTACTTCTGAGATAAGATACAAGATTTAGTGAATTAAGAATATTGGAGCTTAGCAACAGACAGCACTGCTTTTAAATAGACTTCTTGCAATAACAAATAACTGCTTGTTCTCAAGGGAGTCATTTATTTGAAAAAAATGAAAAAAATGATTATGATTAAATATAGCAGTTGCACAAGAAGATGAAAACCATGGAGTAGAATGAAACTTGAATTGGAACTGACAAGAAAGAATAAAGGCTTCTATTCCTGCCTAGATCCAGGTGGTTACGTCGGAGGCGCATTTATCAGTGGAGAGAGAAAAGACATTAGCCCAAGGGCTGTCATAAAGAGATCACAAAAAGAATTCCAGTTAGCTTTAGGGTAGTAGTAAGTAGTACAAAAATAAGGTGAGTCCAGAAAAGAAGTACAAGATGAAAAGATTAATAGAGATCATTGCATGGTCAGAACCACCTAAGGGAGAAAAAAGAGAAATTAAACACAAGATAGAGTCAGAGACAAGACACAATCAAGAAGTGAATGTAAATGATTTGGGTTGTCTGGAAAACGAGTCACAAAGTTAACAATCTGAGTAAGAGATTGAGTAATGTAGAAGTAAGAGATTGAGTAAAAGTTATAGTAGAAGTTATAGGCTTTAGTGTCAGCAGGGATTCAAACTTAACTTCACGACTAATAGGTGAATTGATATGTCCAAGCCAAGCATGTTACAACTTGCATCTTAGCAAATTAAAGGATAGTACCCATAAATACTAAGATGAAGAAGGAACAGACGAATTTAAATTAGTCTCACAAAAAGCAAGCAAGTCTGGTGAAATTTGCAAGAGGTAAGATTCAACTAATGGAAGGTTATTTCACAGACCACATGTGAAAGATATGTTAAAACAGTAAAGTGGTGGGGATAGTTTTTTATGTTAAATATTAAGGTTTACTTTGGGCATAATTTAAGTTTAAAAATAACCTTACTCTTTCTTAGATAGAGCATGGCATCCCAAGAAATGAGCTATGCAGTTGTCTCAGTCCTGTTAATTAATCAAAAGTCATAACATAAGCCTCCTTTTGTGGCCTTGACAATACACACCAAAAATGTTAACAAAGATGCCATCTTTGTGCAACATGACCATGTTAATAACCTGACAGTTTCAGCTGTTAATGGAATCAACCTCTATGAGAACTACCTTATAGAAAAACCATAGTAACAGCCGGCCTCAGAACCATTAAACTGAGTTTTAAAAGCTAAACATCATTAGAAAACTTAACTTTTTCTAGAATATCTGGAATAGGAATGTTTTTCACCGAGTAAGTGAAAGTGGTTAGTTTCCATTTTTACATGAAATGTTATAATACATTTAAGAGTGCTCAACAAATGTTAATAAGGATCTAGACTAATACAAAGTTCCAAACTTGAATAAACATTTCTGAAACAAAATGATATACTCTTAATGGTTATAAGCCACTATAGGATTTTATTTTATCAATTAGTGGAACTAATTTTGGATATTATATAAATTTTTGATTCAATGAGAATGATCTTAATATTTCAAAACATAATTTAGGATAATAGTAAACTTTGGCAGTAGATTGTTGTTTAAACTTGACCAAATTTTAAAGTATAATTATCAAATACCCATGGCCTAATTTTTAGGCTTTTAACTTTTTTCTTCTATTGTTTATTTGTGTATTACCACTCAAACATAATCTTTATAATTATAATATTAAAGTGAAGTGAGCTTCATAGTGAAGCTCAATGAGTTTTTATCAAGATTATAAATCTTGATAAAAAAACTATTTAAACTAATTTAAACTAAAATACTACTTTACATGTCACTGGCATGTAACACAAAATTTAACTTAAGTCAAAGTGTAAAGATGATTTTCTTTCTGAATTTTTTGCTGAAATTTATCAAAGCACTTAACGAAGTAATGAATTTCCTGTATTACAAAAGGTTTCTGTTTTTCAAAATTCAATATTAGGTTTAAAGCCATCAGATAATAAGCCTTTAAAAGTTTGCTTGTCAAGGTTGATCTTTTGGTTTTTAGAGTTGAAAGAGAAAATATCAGCAGCCTCCACTATTTGTCATGATTAGATAAAATTTAGAAAAAAGATTTTAAAAATGATATACTACTGAAAAGCAGGTCAGTGTAAATAATTATCACTAAAGTCTAAACTTTGAGCAACTTAAAATTTTCTCAGAAACTAATTTAATAATTGTAACAGTTCTTTTCATGTGTTTAGTTTTTATTTTAACAACAACAAAAAAATCAAGCCTCAATTTTACCACATGTAAGTAATTTAATTTTTTGTAAAAGTACAACCACCACCCACCCATTAAATCCAAAATAAAAGATTTTGTGTTTTTTTGTACTGTTAATCCATAAACTTTACAATTTTTTAACATTTGCACATTTGCTTTTGTTTTTGTTGTTTTTTGTTTTTCACTTTGCATAACAAAACTTAAGTTAAATTGAATCATTTTTTCACATAATGTAACCTTTTTAGATAATTAAAAAAGTTGGAAAAAAAACTGCAATGAAATTGATAAAACTCATTGCAAAAATGGAGACTCTGGGATACAGAGTCTCTATTTTTGCAATGAGTCCAAAACCTCAGGAGTCCATGAAGATTTCAGGCCTCTGGGACTCCAGTAATATTTTTTTTTAAGTTTATAAGGTGCTCCAAACAAAGCAGTTTTGTCTTAGAGCACTGTGAAAGAGCATTTAACCAGAAAGTTTACATCATTGTCTTCTAAAATACCCATTTGTCTACTAAAATTTGTCTAAATTTTACTAAAATACCCATCTGTCTTCAAAAAGCCCATAAAAAGCATATGAAAATACTTTAAACAAAAATCGCTTGCATAACAATTTTTTAACCTATAAACCTCATCAATTTGAACACTCAGCACGCAGGACTTTTAGCCAAAATTGTAGGTATATTAAAAATAAGATTTTGTTATGCTATCATTATGTCTCAGCATTGAAGTACAGTTTCTCTGAAACAAAAATGAGTACACTAACATAACTTTTACAGATTGACACCATACCTATCATAAAATGTATACAGATTTGGCTTTTTTTTTCAAAAAGTATTTCGTATAGCACTTTTTTTCAAATAAATAGACATTTTTTGAGAAAAAAAAAACAGGCAGAAATTTGTATATAGATAATAAAACTAAAAAAATTTTTAACATCCCATAAACATATTTAAATAGAAAAATTAAAACATAATAAAAGTACATATTTATTTCAAATTTCAATTCAAATTGAAAAATTCCAGATAAAATATTTGGTTAATTTCTTTAAATATTTAAAGAAATTAACCAAATATTTTGTCGCCTTGAAAATATATTCACACTAAAAACATGAAAACACATGTTGACTTTTCAAGGTTAGAAAAATTTATATTTAACTATGAAAAATCAGCTATTTATCATTAGAATGATTATTCTTATTAATTTTGACCTTAACATTTTTAATTTGGGATTGTGTCAATTGGCCACCTCAGTCATAGTTTAAATGGTTTTCAAAGTGAACATCCTTTGATAAATGTGGTGAGTAATATTGTTTTAACGTGCATTGAATACATTGTTAAAATGAAAATTTGTTATTAACTTAGTTCAGGTTATTAGAGATAATAATGGTAAACACTTAAAGGCATTTTGTTTTAACAAAGTGTTCAAATCATAACTAGTCATGATAATGATTTCCATTAATGTTTTTGTGGGTGGTATATAACAACCCGCGAAAACGTAGTTATATAATTGCATGTGACACAAAAGGTTACGTAAGAAACCTTATTTGAGGCTTATCTAGAAAACACCCTGAATTTTTTATAACCTTAGAAAAAAATATTTAAAAAAAGATAGGAAGATAAGAAGCCATTAAAAGTAGCACTTCCCAGCAATTCATTTAAAAATGTTTTGCACCATAGCAAGTTACACATATTTAGAAAAATGAAACCATTAAAAGCAATTGAGAGCTTCCCTGAAGCTTTATGGGATGCTTGCCTATGATTTTAACTAATATTATTTTGCAATCAGTTATGATTTAATTACAATATTATTTATAATATACAATGCCTACTTTAAAACTTTAAGAAAAAACATTTTATATAATAGTTTTTTTCAAGTGCATTTGCAAAAGATTTAATAAATAAATTATTATTTAATATTTAATAAATTAATGCAAAAAATAATATAACTGTATATATATATATATATATATATATATATATATATATATATATATATATATATATATATATATATATATATATATATATATATACACACACACACACACACACAATATAACATAAACAGCTTTCATTTTTACACTGATTTCTAAAAAATGTTAACTGTTTACATTTAGCAAATTGCAGTTAATTTTTTAATTTCTTTATGGCATTTTGTTTTTGTATTTTGACTCATTTTATTGATCATACTACTATTACTAGCACATTTATATATAAAAAAACACTTTCTTAATTAAAAAATATATCTTATACTGCTGAGTTAGGTGAGCATGATGACATCATACTGAAATAGCCTGCTGCAGGGGCTTCAGTACATATATCGACTGACAAATAGCCTGACTCGCAGTGGAGTGCAGCTACATCGACTGAGGGTTCGGTATGGGTCAGCAACCTTTTCATTCATTATTCTTTGTTTTCCCTCATCGTTTTCTCAAAACGCTCACTTAATTTAGACTAGCAAAAAAAGTGAGCTATTGCGCATATAAATATGCTATAGTAGATATATAAATTTTTGTTTTTTTATAAATTATCAGGTTCAGCCTTTTTATTTAATATTTAACAAAGTTTATATAATCAAAGTAAATAAATTATATTATTTATGATGGGTATAATTAATAGAAGACTTACTTGCAGTTTATGTTTAACAATGTGCTCTGGTACATTAACTCGTAGCTTCTTCAACAAAGTCATAATACTAGACTCACTCAATACACCTACTTTTTCTTTATCAAGTAAACGAAAATTATGCCTCAGCCACCTTAGAAAGTAAAAAATATGTTTATGTATGTTTTAAAAGTTAAACATCATGAAAAATTTTATTAACTTGGCAATAAACCATTATTGTTATTATTAATGAGTATTGTTTTCTTATTATTTCCACCAACTGCTCTTTTTAAGAGGTTTTTTTTTTTGAAGTTACTTTTACTACAGATTTCTTTAAACCACTCATTCCAGTAGTTAATTAGATAAAAATTGCTTAAAACAATTTAAAAACATTCTTTTTTTTTTGATACTTTGAAACACTGGGAAAATTGCAAAAAGTTGCAATTTTCATGGAAAACTTGTTGGAATAAAAAAAAATTGTTTAGACTCTACTGAGACACATAAAACATGAATCTACCTCAAATTAAAAAATCAAACAAATAAAATACCACAATTAAACTAAATTAACTACTTTAAATACTACAATAGTCATATACTTCATTATACATATATTTCATATATATATATATATATATATATATATATATATATATATATATATATATATATATATATATATATATATATATATATATATATATATATATATATATATGTATGTATATATATTCTACACATTTATATATATACATATATTCTACACATTTATATATACATATATTCCATACATACATATATATATTAGGGTGTCCCAAAAAACAACATTTTAGAAAAATATATGCAGAGACCCCCTTAATGTGTTCTATATAACAAAAAAACACTGGTTTTAAAATTTTTTGGATAAAAAGTATTTTTGGGGGGCCCTTAAGACCCTTGAACATAGGTCCCTAATATTAATAAAAAAAAAAGTTTTTCAAAAGTTTGTCTAGTGGAATCTCATAAGAAATGAAATTATATTAAAACTTCAAAAATAATCTTTATTTCTTAAAAAAAATTATTATTTTAGATTTTAATAAACAAAAAATGACGTTTTTTAACTAAAAATGAAAAATAGGGAATTTAACAATATTTTTTTATTATAATCTTTTTTAAATATTTTTATTTATAAAATAATGATTTATTTTCAATTTTTTAAAAATTCCGCTTCTTTTGAGACCCAACATGATATACTTTTGAAAAACTATTTGTTCAAAGGTATTGGGAGACCCCTAATAATATTTTTTATTCAAAAAATTTTTAATTCCAGTGCTTTTTTTTATTATATAGAACACATTAGGGAGTCTCTGCGTATATTTTTCTAAAATGTTGTTTTTTGGGACACCCATATATATATATATATATATATATATATATATATATATATATATATATATATATATATATATATATATATATATATATATATATATATATATATATATATATATATATATATATATATATATATATATATATATATATATATATATATATATATATATATATATATATATATATATATGTATATATTTGTATGTATGTAGGTATATAATATATATGACCACAAATAAAAATTCCGTAAGTTAAAAATTTCAATATTAAGTCCAACATTATTAAATAAAAGCAAATAAACACATTAAAAAAATTTTTGTTGGCAAAAGTTACGAATGAACGAATATTTAAAACAAATATCTAAATTCATAATTAGAAAAAGATTATTAAAAAGATTTCTTTAATATATTTTTAAACAATATTTTTACTTGTAAATAAAACTTTTGTCACACGAACTTAACGAGATTTTGAATGAGAATAAAATAGTTTAAATTCCATAAGAGAAAGAAATTCTTTTAAACAAAAATACTTCTCCTTTCTGATATTAATAATGAAGTTTTATAATTGCTTTCACACAATTAAATCTATGATGGAGACTTTTGTAAAATCTTAACGTTTTTGCATAATGAAGTTTGCAAAAAAAATAATAATAAAATAATTAATAAAAGGTTTGAAAAATCCATTTTACATTGCTTCAAAGTTAAATTAAAATTTTCAAAACCATTTTTAAATGAAATTTTTTTATTAAAAGGAAAAGATATTTAACTGTTTTTTAATCAAATAATTAAATTAAAATTAAAGCAAACGCTAAGACAATTTATTGCACAACACTTCATAATTAGACCTGAATTTGAATTGGTTAGCAGGGCCCCCAAAACATTTTTTCTAAAGAACCTTTTTAATATATATAAAACCTTCATATATATATATATATATATATATATATATATATATATATATATATATATATATATATATATATATATATATATATATATATATATATATATATATATATATATATATATATATATATATATATATATATATATATATATATATATATATATATATATATATATATATATATATATATATATATATATATATATATATATATATATATATATATATATATATATATATATATATATATATATATATATATATATATATATATATATATATATATATATATATACAGTGCAGTACCCAAACTATTGCTGGGTACCACACTGTATATTTATATACACAATGGTTGAATATTTATATATATAAATATAAATATAAATATATATATATATATATATATATATATATATATATATATATATATATATATATATATATATATATATATATATAGAGAGAGAGAGAGAGAGAGATATATATATATACAACTCTGGTCTAACTGCCGACCTTATAATGTCTGAGATTGGCAGTTTTTTGCCAACCTGGTTTTTTTAATGTTGTTGTGGTGAGAATAATACTTTTTTTAAATTAATTTTGATTTAATTGATAAGCTCAAAATAAATTTAAAATAAAACTAGAACCAGAGATTATTAAGGTCATATTTTAAAAATAGGGAAAATTTTTTTATAAAAATATCTGGCAAATATTTTCAGGAAGAATGCGTAAAAAATTTGGTAATGTAAAGGCATAGGTTTTGGCATTTTTTTATATAAAAGAAAAAGTTCAATACTTATATAACCAAGGTTTGCAAATTATTTTAATTTGCATAAACTATATTAAATTACACTAGATTTTTAGGTGAAACAATTTATAATATGTAACAATAAAATAATAAATTATTATATATTTATAATATATATTAATTTATAACAAATATATATATATACACTAATTAGTGGTTACTTGCAGCCTTGTTGGAAGCGAAGATAATTAAAAAAATAATAATAATAATTCTTTTTTTAAACCAAAACAGTTTTTTTTTGCTTAAATTGGATTTCATATCAATATATGAATTTCATATCAATATATGTATTTATGCATGGCTTCAGCTGTTTACACCATTCTTGCTATGTTCCTTGACAGCTACTTCCAGAGGCATTAAACAACTTAACAGGTTTGCAATCATCAATATGTATTCCAAAGACATGTCCTTATTTATGTCATTTAGCATTTCATTACCACAATACTGTAAAACCTCTTAAACATCACACACAATAAGTTCAAAAGTATGGAGGAAAACAACTAGACGAATAAGTTTTTGGAGCACTTATGAACAGTCACAAAAAAAGGATGAGACTTAATTGAATGACGAGTAACGCAAGAATGAATTTCAGAAGATGAGCACAAGAGAAGCTAGCTCTTTAGAGCAGTGCCCATTATAGTATTTGTAGAAAAGAGAAAGAGAAGCAACATTACAATGATGTGATAATGGTTGGAGGTTGGCTGCAAGAGCAGGTCCAACTATGTTTACAATGCATTTTTGCACCTTGTCTAAAAGAGAAAGAGCATCATTAAAAGAACTGCCCCAGATATGGCAACAGTATTCCAGACAAGGACAGATTTGAGATTTATAGAGATAAAGAATAAAATCTGGAGTGAAAAAGTGTCAAGCACAATAAAGAGATGCAACTAAGTAGATGCTAAGGATGCATCTCTTTGATTTTAAAAAAGTTGTTGATATATTCTTTTACGGTTGTTGGACTTTTCAGCATTTTACATCTCTTTAATTAAGCATAACTAATTACGGCTTTTGATTTATATATAGCTGTAATCGCCATGTAGTCTACTGCGACTACTAATTGACAAAATCTCTTCTAAAGAATCTTGATTTTAAAGTAACTTAATGTTTTTTGTGTTTGTCTTTTGCTTTTTTTTTCAACATTAGTGCTTCCTTTTATCTTTAGTTTTAATTAAAAACAATATCATGAAGTAGTTTCAAATCTACTACTTCATGTTGGTTTTTATTTTACATAACATATTTATACTTTTACAGCATTTGTTACACACATCCTCTTTGTTGTTCCATTATTCATTAACAACTCGAATTAAAATAATAATTATCTGTGTTTTTATACTTGAATCTGGCTACTTTCGGTTTTTAGAACGTTCTAAAAACTTTTATAAATTTCTTGAAAGTAATATAAGTTTTTTTAAAATTTCTAAATTATTAATGAAAATTCTAGGATCTTCTGGATAATTTCAGCCGTTCAAAATTATTCTAAAACAAGGTTTACTCTTAAAATACTCCCAAAACACCAAAACATATCTCGCTGAATATAAACATAAATATATACAGTGTGGTGACTAGTGGGTCCAAAGCCCTCAAAAATCTGTAATTTTAAGCCCAAAATCTAAAAAATTTTAGATGGGTGTGGGGCAGCTTAGCCACAACTCTGCATATGGACAGTGATTACAAGTGTATGAACACCAGGCCAGAAGTTCAAACAATCACAAACATATATTTTTATAAAGCGACTTACAGGTGAGCCAGCACAGCAACAGAGGTCTTAACAGAACACATACAAATATAAAATTAAAAAGCCTACTAACTAAACATCATTAGCAGTTTTGTTGAAACAGTTCCCTTTTTTCTTCATAAATTATTTTTACTTTTTAGCTTAACAATAAAAGTTTGCTTTCAAGTAATTTGATGCGATAAAAACTTGGTTTTAGTTTGCAAAATACAAAATAAATTATAATTTACTTAGAATGTAATAAGCCACTTATGTATTAAGTTATAATATATATTACAGGAATTAAATAAAATATAAAGTTATTAAATGCATACTTAGTCTGCAGTTATGATACTGATCATTATAGGCCTCTGATTCTGGGGTTCAGAACATTGTTGAACTTTTTTTAACATTTTAAAGACATTGCTATAAGAAAAGTTTTTAATATTTCCATAGTAACTCATTGATTTAATTTTTCTTTTCTTTGTTTTATTTTAAACTTTCCAAACTATGCAAAGCATTAAATGGTTATAAAAAAAAATTTGACTTTTTTATACATTAGTTAGTTTTTATACTTAACTAGCATTAGTTTTTTTAGAATCTTGATGAAATAAAGAATAAGTACATAAATAAAAAAAAACTAAAATATACTCTTTGATAAACTGAAGAACGTTTGTTTCCTTATTAAATGATCATAAATAGTAAGTTGTTACTATATATAAATGAGTGCCGCTCTTATATAAAAATTATTAAAGAAGTTTAGAAATTATTAATTCTGAATGTAGTTTATTTTGTTTTAGTTAAGTTTTTTTTTTCTGTTGGGAATTCTTTTTTTTTTTTAGTGAAGTTTTTTTTTGTAATTGTCTCCCTTCAATCTAGTTAAGCATTTTTTGCGCACTTTTGAAATGTTCTTAAAACGTCTAAAAAACTGCTCAAGTTGTCGCAACTAAATATTATATGCATGGTCAGGAATGGAGTGCGATGCACCCGTTTCCCAACCAAACCTGTATGTATGTATGTATGTATGTATGTATGTATGTATGTATGTATGTATGTATGTATGTATGTATGTATGTATGTATGTATGTATGTATGTATGTGTATGTATGTATGCATGTATGTATGTATGTAAGTATGTATGTATGTATGTATGTATGTATGTATATATATATATATATATATATATATATATATATATATATATATATATATATATATATATATATATATATATATATATATATATATATATGTATATATATGAAAAATCTATAAATATCTAATAAGTTATTTAAATTATAATTTAAAACATAAGATAACACTTTGATATACTATCTTTATGATGTTGTAAGTAACTATGCTGTGATATAATATATGATTTTGATGATGTCTGTGACTGTCTGACACAATTGATACCTGTGCAAAAACTGTCTCCAAAATAACTGCTGCTTAGTTCACAGAAGGTACAAATAATTAGTTTTTCATTACATATGAAATGAGCACGATTTTTAACTCTCGTAACTAAATTAGCAAGCGTTTTTTATCGTGCCCACAATTTATAAATATTCCATTAACGAAATTTTTCACGTGTTGAAACGATTGGTCCTGCTTCATGCCAAGGCCTGATACTGTCTCCAAAACAACTGTTACTTAGTTCACAGAAGGTACAAATAATTAGGTTTTCATTACATATATAGTATATAGTTGTATACTGTAGAATTAATAAAGATTTTTTTTATTTTTTATCTAAAATTCAAATGGTATAATGAATTATCATTAAAAATATAATCTTTATTTGCTATTGAATTTCTATTCATGAAAAGCTTTTGATATACCAATAGCGGTTCTTTTCAGCATACTTAGCGCTGTGTTAGCCTTTGCAACAGTATTTAAAATTTTCCATTGAAATTTTGTTTTTAATTAAAATTATATGTCCTTATTATAAAAACTCCATTGCTCAAAATTATTTTCTCTAAATGCTTGCACACCAGAATAAACTCTTTTGATTTGCAATTTGCAATATCTACACCATAAAGTTTAAAAGTATTCAATAAAAGATCTAAAAGGTAAATAGAAATAAACAGAAAAAAATGTTTTATTACAATTTATTTAAGACTGAGAAGTAGAAGTGCCTATACCTTATACCTAGAATGATCATTCATTCATTCATTATACCTAGAATGATCATTCATTCATTCTATTCCTAATTAGTAATCAGTAACTAGTAATTAATAATTAATATAAATATAAAATTATTTACTAACTAGTAACTTCCCATATATAAAGTATAAATATATAAATGCAACTGTTTTTTGCATTATTTACTTTGTAGGATATATTTATATTATATATAGTATATTTAGTATTTTTTTAGTTAAGAAAAATAAAGTATTTATTTATTTTTTCTATTAGAGATGCCAAAAATAGTGATTTTACCGAATACCGAATATTTGGGCCAAACACCAAATATTCTGTGACACTTAGTTAATTTTGAAGGTTCCAAGCTGCTTTATTGAAGTGCTTATGTTAACTAGGCTTTGAGCATTTTTGTTTCATTTGTGACTTGTGATTAAGACTTTGTCATGGCATGCATTACTTGTTAACTGTTACATCAAATTATTATGTATAAAAATATAGTTATGTATAAAATATACTTTTAATACTTTTCAAATCATATGAAAAGATTAAAAAAATAACCAGCTTAAATATACATTGCATTTTCTGAACTTAGGTTCAGGTTGTAGTGAAGATTGTTAAGTTCAGGTTGTAGAAGAAGGTTAAAGAAAGATTGTTATGTTTGACACACATCACAATCTTTTCCAGTGAAAGCCAGTGAAAGATTAATTCTTCTTAGTGAAAAGCTGTTTGACACCAATGAACCATCACCAATTTCTAGTAGCACCGGTGATGATTCATCTCCACTTTGTAAGAAAAAGAAATGTAAATGAAAGCGATCAAACCATCTCTACAAAAAATATGCATATATAAAGATGTGGAAAAGAAGTGTCTAATTGCAAATGAAATGAGTTTTTAAATTTTAGTTTAAGGTTTTTTAGAAATATATATAGTTTATGACAAATTTGCAATCATTTGCTACCATCAAATGATGAAAAAATTTTTATCATAGCTTACCACCTTTTTTTATGTATCAAATATGCCCATTTTTTGTTAAAATAAAAAATATATGTATATAGTTGTATGTAATCCTTTTTTATGCATTTTTTTTTTTTTTTGTTACAATCTGGTATTTGGTATTCAGCCAAATAGTTTGCACTAACCAGCTTAATAACAAATAGTTTTTAGTAGTTGAGTCAAATACCGAAGTCACCAAATATTGTGACCTCTAGTTTTCGTTTATAGTTTGCAGATTTTAATTATCTTATATGACTTATTTTTTTTAAAAATTAAAAGCTATTAAATTACTTGCAAGTTTTATTATTTTAAATTTAAAACATTAAATTAAATTAAACTAGCTCAAATACAAGAATATAATTTATTGAATATTTATAAAAAAAAAAATACCTTTCTCGCATATCACCATTGTCTTCCTCCTCCTCATTATGTTGGTCTAATTGCAAAACAAAAATAAAAAATACATTTTTTGTAATGTAACACTTTGCATACGTTTAAGTAAAATAATAATAACACATTTTAATACATTAAAAATTTCATGTTGACTATGTTTTTTGTGAAAGTTTCTTAAATCATTTTAATTTTATGGTCAAGCTTTTTTATAAGTTAAAGGTTTTAATTAAATTTATATAATAGTTTTCTCGCTCTAAATAGTTTTGATGCTATTGATATAAACAGTTCAAAACAATTGGTTCCTAATTTAAATGTACTAATTTCAATGGTTCCTAATTTAAATGCACCCACATACATTTAAAAATAATAAAGAAAGCATTGAACTAAGATAAAATTTAACAAAATTAAAAGTATTGAGTGAAGATAAAGTTCAAAAAACAAATCAACAAAAAATGATTCTTTAAATTCAATATTCTAATACACCATTTTATTTCAAATATGGCACTGCTATATCTGAAATCCATATTTTCAAATGTTCAACACCTAAAGGTCAAAATATGGCAACCAAAATATTATGCATGTTTAAAAAAACTTAATTATATAGAAAGATGTGAAAAAAAATATGAAAAAACAAAATTAAAAAACAAGATTAAACTTTTAAAAACTCAAAAAATGAATTAAAAAAAGATAAATTAATCAGTGTTCCGATACTTCCTTTGTAATATATAAAATAAAGATTAAACATAAACTTAAAATGATAATAATTTTTAAAGGTTTTACAACACCTGAAACACTTTTTCAAAATTAAAGGATCTTAAAAATTACTTATAAAAACTATTTATTACTGATGATTGTTTCAAGTCATAGCAAGGATTCCACAACACCTAGCAATAAATTACAACACCTATAAATATAAAATACAAACCCAAAAAAGTTATAACTCAGTTATAAATTATACGTTCCATTACTTTGCATTACAATAAGCAAAGTAATGGAACATATCTTAAAAGTTACATTTATATTGCATTTATAAAAAAACAACCTGTTGACTAAGGAACAGCATGGACTTACTAGCAGAAAACTGTTGTACAAACTTTTTAGAGCCTATAGATCTAATAACACAGCAGTGGAAGAAAAACTACCAGTAGATATCATATTCTTAAATATGTCAATATTCCATGCCTTATAACAAATTGTTTCAAACTAAAAAGTTATGGTATCAAAAATAAAACATATAGATGGTGTAGAAATTTTGTGAAACAGAATAGAATGTGTTGTTTGCAAGCATTGGTCTCTAGTTCTTTTTTAAATCCAATTATGTTTACTGTTTATATAAACAATTTACCAAACGAGTTACTAACAAAGTGCTGATGCCGATGATATAAAGGTAATTAACATAATTAGATCAGCTTCTGATTTGGAAAAGATTCAAACTGATTTAAATAGATTAATAACATGGTCAAACTGATTTAAATAAATTATTAACATGGTCAAAATTACGGCTATTAAACTTTAATGTAAGCAAATGTAAATGAATGCATATATGAAGATAAAATGAATGCATATATACTATAGGAAGAAAAAAGCACTAACCATATCTAGACAATGCATGATCAAGAGTTAAGTAGGGCTGAACCAGAAACCAAAATGGAAAAAGATTTAGGAATTATGATTTCAAACATCTTGAATTGATCTAGTTAAGCTAATAAAAGATTGAAATAATTTTTTATAAGTCTAAGTTTTTAAAAAAAAAAATCATTAAAAAACTTTAAGACATTAACTATTGTACACCTCTCTAGATACCTAGACTATGCAACTTCAGTGTAGCATCCTTACTTGGAACAAGACAATAAAAATTGAAACAATACAATGTAAAACAACACAAATAAAACGTCTTCAAGGAAAACACTATGAAACAAGACTAATGTACTATAAATTAATGAATCTCGGAAAGAAGAAAGGACACAACCATAATGACTTAATTTAGTTTTTCAAAATAGTAAAACAAATAGATAATTTCACCTGGGTATACACACCTGATAATTTAATAGCTTCAACTACAAGGTCATAATATTAAATTTCATCAACAATAACAATAAATCCAAAGAGATACTCTTTCTTATCAAATCGAGTTATTAATAATGGAAATAGCTTAGACCAAAGCATTGTAGAATCTAAGACAATTAAAAACTTAAAATTATAAATAAAGGAGATAGTGTTTTAAAATCATCAAAAGTATTATTAAATTGATTATTAAAAAATAAATTGAAGTTAGTCACATTTTTAACATAAATTGGCTGTTAAAGCCCAACTAGGCTCTGCATATTTTCTTTATGTACAATATTAAATAAATCCAAACAGTTTTTCAGAAAAAAAAAAGAATGATGAAAAAATAAAGATCATATCATAAAAAATAAAGATCTAGCATCATAGATAACTCTTTAAAATGCAAAATATGCATGCACACTAAACAATCAAACATTATGTAGATGATTGTGTAGGTATCAACTAATAGAAAAATGTCTTATGAGTTCTATATACATTAAAAACATAGAGTATGGCTACAAAATCACTTACAAGCACAAATACAACTTTTATTGGAAATCTGAACAAATGATTACTGCATACTTAAAGATGCCTGATATCTTTAAGTAACTATCAAGACATTTGTTTTTGATATCATTCAGTGCATCAAAGGCACAGATGACATCAATCTATGAAAATTCTGTGGAAGACCAAAAAGAATTGCCACTCCAAATATTGACAACATGATACCATGACATCATGATACCGTGACAACATGATACTCTTTGGCTGTAAATGACATGTTCAGCATTTATGGTACTTACTTAGTTTAACAAATTTAAAGCCCAATATAATATATATAATTGCTTAGTTTAATGGTTAACATTGTGAACAATTATTTTTAAAAAATAACTATTTGTTATTAATCAACAAATTTGATAAAATAAAAGCACTTATAATATAGATTATAAAAATATAAACAAGTTTTAAAAAATTTAATATTCTTACCTGCATGGGTCAAAAGTAATCTCAAGCCAGTAATCCAAATACTTGCTTCCTCAGAGGTCTTTGCCACAAGATCTACAGAATCATAGTTTGGTCCACAAATCAATGAAAAACAACAATCCTCAGAATATGCACTACCTTGCTCTTTAAAAATTGTTGTATTTTTTCCAGCACGAACTTCATGTAATGCTTCCACTGGTACTAAATGATTTGATGCAGACAAAACTTACATAAAAACAGTAGGATATTTTTAAATTATATAAACAAAATAATAAATTTGTATGTTTTCATAACCATCTAATTTACAGTTGACAAAGAACTTTAAAAAAACTTTTAGATATTTAGTTTAGTGTAAACAAGTTACACATGCATGTTAAATAAATTGCCTGCTCTTTCAAATCAAACACATGGAAAATATACACTACATTTCTTTCAATACTTTCAGTTATGACAAAATATTATCTAATAAGTAGTCTAATTGCTTGGATATGTTTTTTATTTAATATGTAACAACTCTCACTTTATAAAATTTATTTAAAATTTTCAAATTTTTAGCAACCATAAAAAAATCAGAATAACTTAATAATCTTAAAAAAACACTATTAAATTATATTATAACAAATATTGCACATTGAATGTGGAAAATAAACACTCTAATTTCATTCTATAAAAATGTCATTTTTAAACTTGAAGCCATTTTGAAATTATATGACAAAAATTTCAGTACCTGGCATAAATTCCAGAAACTATTACAGAATTTAAAAAAAAATGATATATTTAACTTTTTTTAAGAAAAATTTATACTTTAAACAATTTTTTTTTTCCTTATGTGTAATGGTAAAAACCAATTTACAAAAAAAAACCTTTTACCAAAATCACTCTAGAGGGATTTAAAAAAACACTTTAAATGTGTTTAAAAAAACTGTTAATGCCTGCTCTAATCCCCTAAATGTGTTTGATAAAGGCTCAAATTAAGTGATTGCGAATTGTGATATCTGGAAATGCTTCTGGTCTTAAAATTTTTATTTTTTTTAAAATAGTTTTCTCAATTTTTATCACTTAACTTAAAATCAGGATTTTGAAACATACTCTTAATTTTGTGAAATAATGAGTTTTCTGTCCAGTGGTCTTATAACTAGTCGTTTTTCCAAAAATGCATCATTCTTAACTCTGATACATAATGTCTATATGCTAGTCTTTTTTTTCTAAATTTTTAAATACTCATTCGTTACAGTTGACATGTATTCATTTGCCAATTTTATATTTTTAAAGAATGTTGATTTGGTGCAGTGTATATCTCTAAGATTAACACCAGATTCAGTTAGAATGACACTTTCACTTTCTATTAAACATTTAGTGAAACATTTATCGTAGCTATAAGGGTAACACTCTCAGCAATCAAATCTATTGGAATTTCTACTGTTACTGTACAGTTAGATTGAAATGGTTCTTTTTAGTAATAGGTACTAAGTTAGAAACCAGATGCATAAGATGAATTAGAACTCATATAAGAATCGAGTTTGATTTCATAATTAAATTCCATTGATTGCTATTTCTTAGTTCTTTTTTTCTTTCTGTTCTTTTTTTTTCTCTCCATTACTTGAAAGCATGAAAGAGTTTAAATTTCAACTTAATTATTATTAAAATATCTTCTAAAAGTTTTAATGTAAAGTTTTACTTTTTTACTGAGCTTCTTATTTTTTGCCTCACGAATAAACTTTCTTTCTCCATCCTGATCTTCTTAAAAAATCAAATTCTAAAGGTTAATATTCTTGTGATTTTGTCAGTCTATTTTTTATGTTTTTCAAACCTGCCAACTCAAAATACTTTTTTTGAGTAATTTTCAAAATTTTTCTGGTTTGCTAAATCTTTGAAAAAATGAAAAATAAAAAAAGCAGACCCTATTTTTTTATTTACATTTAGATTAGAAACTGTTTCTGTAATATTGTGATTTTTTTTTTAATTTGGGTATCACAAACAACATCAAACTGCTTTTATCCATGGTTGCCTAATTTTTTGCCAAAATACAGATACAATGCGGTTGTACACATCTTTCAAAATTTTTACAAAGTTGACATATAACTTAATTAATCTTTTTGGTGGTTTTAGGCAGTTTAGATTGCAGGTAAGCTTGATGTTGTAGAATATTCATCCCTGTTGGAATTTGAATATCTAAATACAAGTAGTTATTATTTTTTATTGACGTAATTTATATTATAGCTTTCTCTCACTCTTGCATAGAGCAAGAATAAAATCAAAACAGTCCACAAGTTTTTCTAATACAGTTTTTCTGTAAACTGTGTAAGAAAAACTAGTGGATTGTTATTTGATGTTAGTGATTTATAAAAACTATTTTATTTTTCTGAAAGTTACATTAACATATAATGCAAAAAATTAATTCATTTTAAATGTACTTGAAGTACTTGAACACTATTGCTTAATTTGTGGGGGTTGAATCTTGTTGGAAGGTGTATGGACGATCACTAAATACTTTATCCACATAAAGGATAAAGTATTTGGTGGTATTAGGAAATAGCTCTTACATTGTGTGGGATCACTTTTAAACTTACTCCATCAACTCTGCCATTTTGTTTGTTAAAGGGGCACACAAACAAATAATATTTCATCATAAAAAATTAATGGTGGGCCAACAATGCCCTTTATCATTTTTTACCATTTATCATTTCTTTATCAATTTGCTTTTTTTAACACACTCAAAATTATTTCTGTTTTTCAGATCAGCAGATAAATATTTTTCATAAGCTTCTAGAGAGAGAGAGAGAGGAGAGAGAGAGAGAGAGAGAGAGAGAGAGAGAGAGAGAGAGAGAGAGAGAGAGAGAGAGAGAGAGAAAGAGAGAAAGAGAGAAATTACCTGAAATTGATGGTTAGCTGCTTTAATAATAAATAATTTCTGCCTTATATTAGATCTCAATTTACATATTTCCAACAATTTTTCCCCAGGTCTCTTTTTCCCTTGAACATTTTTACTGCAATTATTACTTTTTATCTAATATTAAACTTTATACTAACTTTATACTAAATAATCAACTTTGAACTTAATATTTATAAAGTTTATTAATGCAACACTGCACCACCTAATATATAATATAATGTAGTACAATGTTACAATACTTTAGATAATCTACTTTTATATCTTAAATAATATAAATAACTTGTTACAGGGCTTGTTATGAGATTTTTTTGCCTAAGGAAAAAGTGTAATGCAATAATTGTAACTTTAAAATATCTGTGTAATGCAAGTAAATGTAAATTTACAATATCCATATTTTTATGGTTAAGTTAAATTATGTCATTGTGTTTTTACCGCATTATAATTAAACTTAATTTGAAACCACATTAAAAATCATTAGAAGCCTTTATCTTTACAAAATATTTATAAAATATCATTAAATTTATTAAGTTATAAAAAAATTATCAATAAAATTTATGTTGTTTGAAAAAAAATTATTCAAAAGAACTAAATTTAAACTTATAAAATTTGATTCTTAAAACATTTGTATATTTGCTTATTCACAATTTAGTTTTTTTTAAATGAGGGGGCAATTGTTTATGGTTGAATTTTTTAATAGTCAAAAAAAAAAAACTATCAACATTTGTTTGTTAATATTTTGGCTTTAACAAGATCTTTCCATTTAACTCTTAAACTAGTTAATCATTTCTAATCGACATTCATTCTATGATCAATCTAAAAAGTTATTAAAGAAAAAAACATTTGTAAAAAAGCAAACTTAAAACTAAAAAAATTATCTATTCATAAGCTTGTTACATAAAGATTACTAAAAAAGTTTACTAAAATGCGGAAATGCATTTATATAATTTTATAAGTAGATAAAGCATTTTTTTACATTAGCAATTTCATAACAGGATGAGAAAAATTGATACTTACTTAAATTGATACTGGCCCTCTAGGCCAATGTTTACTCACCCGTAAGTTACTTAATGAATGTTTGCTTTTTTAAGCAAAAGCTAGGAGAAACAAACAAACCTTAAGGCGCTAGGTTGAGTTAAAGCTAGTCACTATAAAAATACTCATCTTAGGCAGATTTTAACTAAATCCAGCTAAAATTCCCCTGCCTTAGGGCTTTTGGCTGAGTAAAGGTGAGTGATGGTGTCCTGATAAAAATACTCATCTTGGGCATATATTAACTGCATCTAGCAGAAATTCTCCTGCCTTGGGGCTCTTGGCCGAGTAAAGACTAGAGATAGTGTGCCTCAATAAAAATATTTATCTTATGCAGATGTTAACGGGATCTTGTAGAAGGCCTCCTCAGAAGGCAAAGACTTAAGGAATAACCAGAATAATTCTGCTAAACCCCTTCCTCATCTACTAAGCTGGCAGAGAACTTGTTTTACATTGTTTCTGCCTAGAATGATGAATGCTAGATCTTCTTGACTCTAATCATAGATTTTTGCTTGTGCTTCATTTGATAATGACTATGCAACTCATCCTGTTATCTCCTAATGACGGTACAACTCTAAAACTCAGTTTAATGGTTTTGACGCTGGCTGTTAGTAAGGTTTTCCAAACTCTGTGGCAGCTCTCAAAGGGGCTGATTCCATCAACAATTGCAAAATATCAGAGTATTAACAGTACCATGTTGCGAATTGCATTAACAGTGCCATGATGCCATTCTTTTATGTGCTTCTGCTTAGCACCTCTTTACTCTATTTCCTTTCTGTTTGTTCTTCATCATACTATTTCTTCCCAAGACGGCACTCTTTTAGATGTAATTTCCAAAGATTGACCAAAGGGTATGGTCAATTTGACCAAATTGACCATACCCTTTTTCTTTACCCCTATGCTAATACTGTTGTTATTGGTGACTTAAATGCTCATCACACTGAACAGCTTCACGGCTGTTTCACTCAATATAAAAGCGAGCTTGAAGTCAAAGTTATATTTGTATTTATCAAAAAAAAAAAGTATTTCCGCAAAAAAAGTTTAAAAATTGACTAACTTTAAAATAATAGTGTTTTTTTCCTATAAGCGCTTTCATCTTCAAATAAAAAAAATATAAAAGACCTATCTTTTTTTTTAAATAAATATTTACATTAGACGAAATAAAAATATTAATGTTTAAATATTGCTAACGATTTGGGATCACTTTTCTGTTTTTTGTGGTTTTTACGGAAAACCTGTCTTGGGTCAACTAAGATTTCATAACATAGCTACATGCCTC